TGCCTCATTAGCATACTGGGTTTCAGATTACAGAGCCTGGATTCCTGGAAACCATGTGACTCTGACAGTTGCAATATCACTCTAGGCTCAAGCTTGTCTCCCACAATACAGGTCATGCCTGTTTGTGTACTGTCATGTCATATCCTGGAAGGGGCCCTGGGCTGGCATGCATCACAGGAAGTTAGAGCAGGGCAGCTGCAAGGATGTTCTAATCACACAGCTGCAGGCTAGTGTCAGTGTCCTGAGATTCTGTCTCATCCTGATGATCAGAACTAGCCCATCACCGAGCTCAGACTCTACCCAGCCAGGGCCCTACTGGCCATATGTATGTATTCCTGATGATCAGAACTGGCCCATCACTGAGCTCAGACCCCGCCCAGCCAGGGCCCTACTGGTCATATGTATGTATTTCTTATTTACCTGGATGGGAACTATTGGTGGGAATTTGTCCTATATAAGGTCCCTCTTCTTTGCTTGGAGACCTGCCACTGACTTGTTTAGGGTCAGAGCTGCACCTCTCACCTTGCTCCAGATGTGCACTGAAGAAGCCTTGCTGTGTTTCTCTAAGTATAGACTGATTTTTACCATTTTCTTGACGTGGGAACCTAGCCCCAGTGATGTGTGTGAGCCCAGCTTTCCCTTTATTTTATTTTCTGAGTCAGAGTCTTACTCTGTAATCCAGCTGTTCTGGAATTTAGAATGTAGCCCAGGCTGACCTTGAATCCACTGTGATTTTAGTCAATGCCAAAAACACAGCTCTCACTTCAAAGGAGACAAGAGATCATTTATTCTATAGTTCAAATCGAGTGACCATGGTTCATGAACACAGATTTAGATTAACCTACATTCCATGCTCTAAAGTGAAGACAGTTGCTTGAAATTTTTATAGAAACAGAATAAAGAAGGTGTCAATCAATACACTTTTCAAATACATGGATGGAAACATTAAGTGCAGCAAAGAGGAGAAATCTCAGCTATAGGCCAAGATGGTATCTGATGACAACATGGTACTGGTTTGGGCAACATTGAGGAGGTCATAGAGAGAAACTGAGGCTTGGCACCATGTCGCAGGGTCAGAGTCCCTGAAGATAAGTCACGAGAGACCGTTGATGAAGGTGCAGCCTCAGCTGCAGTGGAAACTCCATGACACTCCATGCCAGGACTGTGGGACAACCACCAAGGACAGTGGCAGGTAACAGGTATAGAATTAAAGCTTAAATTGTCAGTTACTGGTCATATCTCTCTAACATTTTTCTTAAATTATCTGGTGACTTTGATTGTATAAGGTCAAGTTTTTCTCGTTTTACAAATTTAAAATAACCAACTTTTAGATTTAAGCTTTGTGAACAAATGGGATGTTGGATTAAGTTCACCAGTACTCTTGTTTATTTATAATTCTCCATTTCTTCAGAGAGAGGCGCTTTTATCATGTAAACATGCTGCATCATGTGTATTAAAGGTAGCACAAAGAAACATATATACTAATAACAAAATGCCACATCGTAAACACAAAGTAACAACTGCATCAACAGTTGACCTGTGCTCAACAGTTGTGAATGCTGTCACAAGAAACTCAAAGAACACACCACATGGCGGCATTTAATCAGAACCAGTGCATTATGAGTAGAAAGAGGAGGAAGTTTGTATCTTAGAGATAAAGAGCTTAAATCTAAACATTGAGAGAGGTCTAGGGAATGCAAAAATAAAAAAGGAAGCTGGTTATGTAAACAGGGTTAAAAAAGAAATTGGGGTGGGGGGAGGCTGGAGAGATGGCTCAGCAGTTAAAAGCACTGGTTGCTCTTGCAGAGGACCTGGGTTCAGTTCCCAGCACCCATATGGTAGCTGACAAGCACCTGTAATCCTGTTTCAGGAGGTCTGACAACGCCCTCTTCTGAGGCATTGCAAGACCCAGGTGCACTTAAATACTTGCAGGCAATACACTCATGCACATAAAATAAAAATAGTAAGTAAGATATGTTTTAAAAGAAATAATTCAGTTAGTGTAAGTAGGAAATGATCAGGCAGAAATCTCAGTTGGAGTTCACTTATATGATGGGGAGAGAGATGATGGCCTTTTAAGGTCAAGGACTGAGAATCAAACTTGGACTAGTTTTTAAGAATACACCCCAGGGAATAGAGGACACACAACCCGTTGTGAGTCTTACCCAAAGCCCATTGACCTTAAAAGTTGTCCCATAGGGTGGGTGGGCAATGGATCCTCTCACCACATTGCCTCCTAAGGTGTGCCATTATCCTGGGCACCCGCCCTCAAAAGGACACTCCCAGTCTATGGAGGTGAAACCCATTTCACTCTGGAGCCAAATCCATCCGGGTGATCAGGCTGGACAGGCCTTGAAGAAATACAAACTCAAATTGGCCACACATTAGTTGTGAGGAAAAGGGGGCTTACCATCCTGGTAACTGGCAGATCCTTCCGATCAGTAAGTCCCGCTAGGAAAGGAAAATGGCAGGTACAAGCACCTCAGTCACATGCTCTTCCTCTCCGAGAAGTGGTGGTAAGAGTAGGATAGGAACGGCGGGGGGGGGGCA